GCATGCTGACGCAGCTCCCCACCTGAACTACTACCGTCTTTAAAAGTTTTTGTTTGCAAATGGTATTTTCAAGGTGTGCTTCAATGCCAAGGTAGAATCAACTTGCTCTGCGGACTGCAAGGAGTGCCACTGGGCTACTGGTCTCCGAGGGTTAGACAGCATGTCTGCCCAGTGGCGAAGCTGGTTTCCTGTGGCATCACAGCCTAGGAAAATCTTGCCAATTGCTTCATTTTTAGTCATCTTGTCATGGTCCCACACAGAGATCACCAACTGAACTTTCTGGAAAAGAAATATGATTCTTTCACTGGAATGTTTTTAAAAAATGCATTTTAAGCATCTCAGTATTACCAACACGTACAGCACAAGTATAGTAATTGCAGCACATGGGTTTGTACCATTGATGAAGTATTAAATACAGCGTAAAGACAGACTGCTGTGAATCTTACTTGTATTTGATTAAATGACACTTCAAAGGTGAAAGATTCATTGAAGTATGGGTTTAATGTTTGCTTTTTCAGTGTTGTTTTCTTTTTCTTCCACTTCTTCTTGTCCAAAATTAACTGCACCTTAACATAGGGATCTTAAAAGGAAACAACAAAAAGTTAGACAACTAAAAAGTTAGACAACATGCCGCATAAAGTCCGTTTTCTAAGATTAGCTTGATCTTTCTAGATGCGTAGATATCTACAGTACGTGAAGACAAAGGTACAGAAGGCTTGACAGCTTAAAGAAGTGTTTCAGAATTGTTCTACCTTAAACAAACTTGACACCTTGATTTTCAAATGAGCTCTAAGATAAATTAATTCCAAAGAAAGGGGTGTACGTTCTTATTTATCTATAACTGTTAACGTATCAACCAGTAATTTACTGTATGTTCTTAGAGTTAAGTAATGTCCAAGTGTATCTTAAACTGCTCTTCCAATAGTTTGATTAGATTCACCTGATAAACCTCCTGTGTCCATTTTTTTCAGGTTCTTAGCCTCCAGAATGATAACGGTCAGTTTGCTGGAAGTAGGAACATAGCGCAAAGAGAAGCAGATATCGCCAAGGTTTTCTTGCTGTAATACAATTCAAAGAAATGATTAGGTGCACAACGTTCTCTGTACAGTATTATAAAATACATGCAGAAAATTGTAAGGTTTTTTTCAGGAAGTATCTCATCCATTCTTAGCAAGATAAGTCAAGGAACTTTTTAATGAAATTTATTATTTTCCTGCATACTTTCTTACATTTGCAGTTTACAAGAAAACTCCAGAATTGTAGAATACTGTGTTAACTAGGGGCTACTTGTGTAAACAAGAGGTCCCTTATCACCAAGTCCCACAGCTGCAAACAAGCAAAGAACATTTCACTTCTTATTCATATCCTCCAGCTCAGGCGCTGACAATTATTACTGCAGTGCATAACCTTGGTTGTTACTGTAATTAAACACTTATGGGAGGAAAAAAAATAATTATTTTTATTTTATTATACCGAAGTACAAAGAAATAAATGTTTCAAGGACTGAATGTTTCTACCTCAAATTTGGATGCCTCATTTAAGTCTTTCCATTCTTCAATCACATGATTCCAGTCAACAGTGCTGAGCTGCAGTCTCAGCTCCCCAATGATGTCATGTTTAGAAAATCTGTTGAAGTCGTAAACTTGCATTACCAGCGTCGATTCATTGAGCTCAGAATGAGGTACCTGAATTCCACCAACAGAAATAGGGATAGATTAATTACTTTTATTTTATAAAGACTATCTAGTGTAATAGAAAATAAAATGTAAAGCCATTTCCAAAAAAAAATTGTTTGACATTATGGTAAATACTTTACATAGACAAGATCAGCTAACAGGATTGTAATTGAGCAGGATACATGGAGTGAAAAATCTCATATCAGTTTTATCTATTAGTACTCTAGTAAACAAAAAATATAAGTATTGTTAGTGGCATCGTATTTATCATAACAATACAGCGTAATCATTTACGGGAAAAAATATATATTTTCTTTTAAGTACATTTTCTTGGTTTCAGCTACACTTGTGATTTGCTCAGATTCTTCATGAAATTCTTCTCTTTCGATTAATCCTTTTCACCTGAATTTGATCATTTCTGGGCTCCACCTTACAGGTTTTACATAAATAAAGCCTTTCATTAAACGTGATACATGCTTCTATTTTCTGTTTTAAATAAGATTTTAAAAATTAAAATAAAAACATTTTTAATATGGCAACAGAGCCAAATTATGATTCACTAAATAAGTAATTAAATTAATATTTAAATAAGTCTTTCAGAATTTGAATTTAAGACTCCCTGTAAGCAAGTTAATTATTTCTCTCCTTTTGTTGGGGAAGCACACTCCTGTTTTTCAAACACCCACCCATTTTCTAATCTGGTACAGGTACAGGGTACAGGGTCGCAAGGGAACTGAAACAAGCCAGGCAAGCAACAGCCACATGGCAGGATACTCCTTGGACGTGACGCCAGCCTGTCACAGGGCACTCATACACAGACATGAACACGCTCACACCAGGGCCAGCGCCCCCAGGAGCCAGTTCACCTTCTATTACTGTGTGTCCCTGGACTGTGGGAGGAAACCTGACCTGAAAGAAAAACGTCCCGCGGACAGCACCCCAGGAATTTAACCCAGGACCCCAGCGTTGCGAGGAAACCCTGCTAACCACTGCACCGCCGGGCCAACCGTTCGGAAAAATAATGCGGTGGATTTAGATCAAATCGTTTTGTGAAAAAATGACGATTTCCTTATCTGGGGCATGAATACCTGTGAGAACACTACGTGGCTCTTACCTGGAATTTGAACTGCTCGTTGAAGACCGGGTTGAGAGTTTTCCTGAACACTTTGGTCTCGTATACCTTTGACTTATTGGGAAGCAGGTAGAGTTTGACATAGGGGTCAGACGTACCACCAAGGTCCATGGCTTTTAGCTCTGCTGCCTCCTTCACACCTACAGTGAGCTGAGCACCAAGAGAGATGCACACATCAAGCATAGCTGTAAGCCTGTATGAGTCCAGATAGCCTTTCCTGCCACTAAACTGTAAATTCGTGGCAATCGGTTTGATTTTTTTTATTTTTCATTTTGGACCTTTGGCATTTCAAATATTTGTGTAGACCGTTATGGGTTATGAGGTGTTGGTATGTGAATTTTCAGCATCAATACTGAGGAATTGTCAAATATACTACTATATGAATACAAATTAAAATGTAGGTGGTAATTAATAATAACAATATAATAATTACAGTGATATACAGTATGTAGTTTTAATAGGGAAAGCTACCTCTGTGCTCTGTGTATTGTATTCCAGAGAATACAGCAGTCTTCCCTTTGGTTTTTCTGCTGAACCGTAGTCTATATCATCCACATCCGGCTGCACCTGCAAGTCACACAATTTGTCATTTAAAATCTGGGAAGTAACTGCAGGAATTTAACATCTTTGCAACAGCTAGTAAGCAGCAATGTATTTTCTCAAGACACTGAAAACCATAGTCTATATCAGCTGCCCATTCCAACAGACACTTTAACATAGCACCATAGAAACAAAGTCCCTGATGAAGGCTCCCACACCTTTTCCCAACAGCCTGAAGGACTCCCAAAAGATACATAGAGATCAACATCACAATGCAATCTGTATGTGAAAAGGGCATCATTTAAACATTCTGTCCCAACAGTTCTTAAAAACGCTCTATATATTAAGGGTCAGTACATTAAATGTACTGTAGTGCAGATATTTTTTTGGTTCTTACACTGGCATCATAAGATATTTGCATCTACAGTATAATCACATTGTGAATATTCCAAAAAGTGGGATGTTTCCAAAACACAACTGGGAAACAAATGGTAGCCGTATTTATTCAGACTGCTGCTCAGCCCGAGAGAGCTACCCCAAACATCGCATCTTCCATCAATACACTGACATCAATGCATAGGGAGACAAAAAGGAACCTGTCATCGCAGCTTAAAAGCCAAGGAGGCAGCAGGGGCTTGACCCACAGTAAAGCTGTGCAGTTAGAGCAGAGCAGTAGTAAAGGTCACACTGAAAGAGTGGAGAGACACCACACTCTGTTCAACAGCACACAGCCCTGGTCAGAACGCAAGAAAGAGGAGGCCATTCAGCACATCTAACACAACTAGCCAGTCATTTCTCAACCAGGGATCTCCCTCAGCCGGTTCTTGACAGGCCCGAGGGCGGGGGCTGAAGCGCTGCGCTGATCTCACCAGTGCGGCTGTGGTGGCTCCGCTGACACTCTTCAAGCTGATCTGCTCGTCCTTCTCCTTCTTCCTCTTCCTCCTCTTCCCTCTGCAGCAGCACTTTACGCAAATGCACAGGAGGCAGATCACAAAGACGAGAGCAATCAGTGCTGCTATTGCATAAATGGCCCATCTCGGCACTGTAAAAAAAAAATATATAAAAATATAAACATAGGGGTAAGTGAAAACATTATAAAAGACCCACTTTCCATATGTTTTCTTTTCTCTGCCCCTTTTCAAAAGAATCCAATGGGATGACAGAAATAACTCGAGACTGTACTGGAACACAGAGAGATCCTGCAGGACTAGGGGAGGCACAGATGGCAGGACGGGCAGAGGCAGTGCACTACTTACATGGGATCTTGTTGAGCCACTGGGTAATGATGTCAGGGGCAGCAGTAGTGGTTGTGTTAAAAGCTATGGAGGGTGTTACAGTGGTATGAGTGTTAGTTTGGTTTTTAGACAAGGCAGTTTCCGGAACCATGATTTCTGCTCTTAACGACAACACCTGAAAGAAAACAACGCTGGGATTAAACCTTTACAGTTACAGTTATTTTGAGCTCCATCCCAGTCAAAATTATTTTGAGATTTTAGAGGTCCTTAAGGCCTGAGAGTGCCCACTGAGACTGAGAATCCCTGGAAAAGAAATGGAAAGTTTTCATCAATGCTTGTTCTGTAAGCATTTATGGTGGATCTGTTGATTTTTAATATTCTAACAGGGGTATAATCTCACCAGTACAATACATTTTATAACTTACATTATGAATGTGGCCTCCTTAAAAACAGTCACAAAGCCGTAAAAGGCTGAGAGTATTGGAACAGCAAGATTCAGTCAGAAAAAGTAAAGCAAAATCCAGTGGGAACTGAATCAGTTTACAATACAAAATATTGTAAAAATAACAAACAAGACAAAAATATCAGATAAGTTCTACCAGAAACAATTTCATTGATCTCTAATGGGTGTTTCTAATTATACTACAGTAAATTCAATTACAGTCCACTAACACTCTAATGGTTAGAATCAATTCACTGCTTAGCTATGAATGTAATAAATAAATTCTAGTGGATTAAGATTTCTATAGCCATGTCTTGTTGTGACACAAACTACCACTTCTGAAGTGTGTTCCCTCATGTGTACGATGCTGTTTGGAATTCCTTTGGATAATAAATGCTTTCTAGTTATAGTGATTATTAATCAAAGCACATTTTAACCTCTTATCAATATACCTGTAGGTGTTCTCTAACTCTTGCTGAAATTTCTGAAACCGATACAGTACATGCTGATAAAACCTTTTCTCCCAAATGTAAAGAATGCTAAATACAACAATACAACTAGAACTACTCTTTACAACTGTGGTAAAGAAATGTGCCACAGCTGAATTCTCGGCAAGAGCCCAGAAGCAAAAATGCGCTTAAACTCCCCACTTTCACAGCAACAGCTCCTGTAGTGGGATTTTATTTGCAGTATTTACTTTCAAACACTGTTGCCGTCAAAGAGAATTGACACTGACAGGAAGCTTTGTCCCCTCCAAGGATAAACAACAACATGGAGAGCTGCCAGCTGTGCTTGTTGGCTGTTTAAACAGGGTGTGTGTCAAACTTCAATACTTTTCCTTCTCTCACTGCTACATACAAATGAATGCAAAATGTCCTTCCACTTTTACTATAATTAAGTAGCAAAATGGGCATTCCAAAACCCTATTTATTGTGTGTACTGCTTCTGTACTGTATTTATCCATGATATTGGAAATCCAGATTAGTCATTGCTTTTCAAAATGTCCTTTACACTTCTAGCAATTCTAGTCAAGCCCCAGTCATCCAGGACTTCAGTGTTTCAGGACAAGACGGGAACTGGCATCATATAAAATACTGTATGTACCAATTGATTCAAATCTTTATGCACACACACTATATAAAAGCTTAGCTGAAATTAAATTCAGATTTACCTGACAAAACCACCATCCAACCAAACAAAATAATTCATACTTCATACATTTATCCACTACTGTACCTACAGGTATGTGAAACAATATATAGGACCTTACAACACATTATACTTGAGACACAGGAACAAAAAGTTTCCATCTTCAGTGGTACGAAAATAAAAGTAATTTGTAAAAATACGCTGGTATCACCATGTGGCTCGAAAGAGAAAAATGAAACTTTATAGAGGTCAGTTCAGTAGACGAATGTGCAGGTCTGGCAAAACTAAAACATTCAATGAAATTAAGAAGTTCATCAAGTCCACCAATTGTACAGTAATGACAGGTCATACCACATCTACTGTATACAAAATTAATAAAACTATATTCATTTCCCCACACATTTACATCTGGCCACTGATTAATCCTAATAATTTGAAACATTCACTTACTTGTTCAAAAACAGACTAATGTAGAGGAGCGCAGAAGGCCGGCAGTATATCTCACTGGGTCTCGGGACCCAGCTGGCCTCTATATTGTTCGGCGGACTTCTACATCACAGGGATCAGGCAACAAGGAAGGAAGTGATTTCCTCTTGTGAGGAGCTGGTAAGTGGCTGGCAATGCAGCCCATACTTCAGCACAATGAAACTTCTTGAAATCTGTGGAAAACAAACTGCACTGTGCTAATGGGACTTTACAACTGCACACAGTGGCTTCACAGTAGTGACTTAAATCTCTTTTCAGTCGTGTAAAGCTGATATGCTTCTAAAATAATTACTATTGTTGCTTTTTATAACCCCTGTCATGTCATGACTCCCTTATCTGAGATATGCACACTGTACTGTACATCTATACTGAATCACCAGAATAGCAATGACATCTAGCTCTTGTGAGAAGGAGGATGCAATCCACACTAAAATCTTTTTATAAGCAATTAGCTCAAAGTAATATACATATTACACATAAAAGCACATTACACAGAAGAAAAAATAAAGAGAATAAAAAGCCAGGAAGGCCAGGCAGACATGGGAGAAAAACAAACACTGAGAAATTCTGTTCTGAGAAAATAGGATTTTAAATAACTTACAGGGGAACTGCAACATTATTTTTATATCCTGGGGTTAGAAAGAATCGACATTGATGAGTGCATTTCAAACCACAATGAAAGAAAAACGTAAACAGTAACGTGTAAAACCTGCAATTTATTTCATCACATACACACAACTTCCAGTTACTGTATGAGCAGCACAATATTGTAGGCATTGTCTGCGATTTAGAAAGAAGCAACAACTTCTAGAGATCTGAAGCAGCCCTATTACATCTTTTTTAATCCAATAGGAAAATTGCTCTCAACTTTGAGATGTTTTTGCCACAAATACTACTTGATTTCTTGACTATAGAGCCCACTGTGTCCATATGGTCTATCATGAGCATGTATATCACAGCCCTACCTTTGTCCCTCGGACAATTATTTTTTTCTTGAGTATAAACCTGTCACTCTCATCATAGACTCACAAGACAATGAAGCACAGAAACCCACCCATTTAAAAAAAAGACTGATAAAACATGCACCACACACCCCTTCATTAAATTTACATTCTTATGTCATTCTTTGATTTAGCAAATCTGGGGGAGAGTATGTTCCATTGAAAAGGACAGAATGTCTTTAGTTTTTGAATTGGTTATGTAATGTTTTACATATACAGAGTATAGACACATTCTCCACTCGTAACGTCCATTTTCAGACTATCCCACAATTCTTTTCAGAACTTTTCAGAACTGTCCTCATCTAGCTTAGCTTCACTTACTGCTTGATTTCTTCTGGTTGCTTTACAGGTAATCCTTATCCTGGCCATTTTGATCCATTGAAACATACACCAATATTTCCTTGGTACAACATTTATCTTTTTTTTCTTTTTTTTTAAATTTAAATTAAATTATTTAAACATAACTTGATTGACGCAGCACACACTCTGTTCTGTTAGGTTCTCTATTTCCCCACTTAGGTACAAATGTATTTGTGTCTTTAGAATCACACAATCTTCCAAAACAATACCAGACCATCTTTGCAGTTAGTTTTATTCAGACGTCCATTTCTGTGGTGATAGAATTCACTGAGGCAATGACAAAGCTGGGGAAAATGGTTTCCTCTGGTTTATTAACTTCATTTTCTCTAGGATGCATTTGATATTAGTTAGTTTTCTTAAGACCTTTTAAAAACAGTTAAAAAGAAATATCCCCCCAGTGTGGTACAGATCTAGTTAATGTTGCCTACTTAAGGAGGAGAAGAGTAGTGATTGAAAAAATGAACTTCATTGGGATAACTTGCCTTTATACATATTTATTATACAATATTTATACATACAGTATATAAACGGTATTGGGTGAGATTAGATTTTGACCTCCTCCCAAACTTCTGTATGAAACTTCATTCAGTGACCACCTTTGCCCCACTTCAGAAACCACAAAGGGCAGTCCTTTAACCAACAGCTTCACTAACTAGGCAAGGTTTAGTCAAATATAATGACAGCTTTGTACAGTTGTACAGTTTGCATTTATGTTTCACGACAATGTTTTTACCCATTGAAATTCTGGTCTTATATTTATATTTTGAAGATAACAACACCTGCAGGTCAAAAGAGCTAGTCTAACAAACAGGTTTTATGGCAACTACATAGCTGTTTGTACCATCTCCAAAATGAGGTAACTGGAAAAACAATATTAAAATGCTAAGTGCTACAAGAGGCTCTCAGTCTACCTTTCATATTTGAATTCTATTTCTACTATTCCTTGTTTAAATAAAACATGCAGATTGCACCTATTATTGCACTCACTGCTGTGAGTCATCTAGCCCACAGACAATTGTGTTTTACATGTATGTGTAATATACCTGTGTTCTCTGAACACAAGAAGTGTCACTTGTAGGCAAGAGGTCACAACATATTAGACAAATGTGGCCACTAGGCAGAGGAGACAAATGCTCCTGGCCAGTATTGTGAGAGAAATATGTGTGAAGGAGATATGAAACAGATTAAGTGAGTCTTCCAACACAGGTATGCTGAACCCCAAATAGTACTAAAGGTTTAATTTTTAAGTGTTTAAAGTAAAAAATGACAACAAGGGGCAGGAACACATCATTCTAAATGCTTCACAAAGGGAATAGGAACTTTACAAGAACATGGAGGAAGGTTCCTGCAATTAACTGTACTTTTCATTGGTTCTAAGGCATAATTTCTTAGTTATAGATATTTTCTAGTTACAGATAATGAGTCCTAGATATCGTCACACTGGTGACTGCACAGTACAGAAACTGTCAAATAAGTAACTTCAGCAGAGAACCAGAAATGCTACAAATATAAAGCTACATACTGTATATAAAACAAACTGCAAAATCACCAAATCTGTTTTTTTTTTCCACAGTCTTCTAGTGCCCTGCATTGAGGACATGAAAGAGAGGCAGTGCTGTTGTGTTTAAAATGATAAACCTAGAGTACCTTTAGTTTGCTCAGTAATTCCTACAGTTGATAAAGTTTTCCATAATAGTATAATGTAAGGTGTAGTCTGTTTCACTATAATGAGAAAGAAGGAGGGCCTACTTTAGGTTTTTATTGCAATGACAAGTGTAAATGCCTTCTAGTTGTTTCATCTGGAGTTCTTGGGTGGACACACTTGAAAACAGTGTAAACAGTGTAATATCCCTGCCAGATTTCACATTAAAGCACCTTCATAAGCATAATGCAAGTCCTACACACCTTCACTCTTAGGGGTCAACAGTACAAGCAGCAGATATGTTTTTATAGTCTAATTTGTTCTTAATTTATTTTGTGTTTTCACAGTTTTGGGGTTCACAGTTTAGTTTAGAAATCAACCACATCCCAGATGCGCAAATAAATAAAAAGGAATTAATTGCCATTCTGTAACTGAAGGATAGACATTTCACGTCACATTTTACATATTTGGTTTCTAAATTAGTTTTCACATTAGATTTCTAATTCCTGTGCTCCAGAACCAGAGGAGCGTTTCTGACGATTGCCTGCAGAATAACTAAGTCAGATCTACCAGACAAAGCCTCTAAAATACAGTAATCTTTGATTTATGTTCTACAGCATCCCTAATAACGAGAACAAATCTTTTTCAACCTTGTGTACTTCTGTACGTTATTACAAATAAATTAAATACGGTCAAGAGACCTTAGTGGTAACACTGTATTCAGACTGACCTCGGACTCCACCGCAAATACTGAATATTTCTGGCGGAACACAGTCTTGCTCTGACCTAAGGCACGAGTCCACATTGCATTCTGAGCAAGTCTGCGTTCACTTCAAGCGCATCTTGTAGCACTGTAATTCCGCACAACATCATTCTGTGCTTACAATCTTGACCACTAGAGGCCCGCTCAACCATGAAACCCCCAAAATTCAGCCGTCGAGTATATCCGATCTATAGAGAATAAAAAAAAAAATCCTGCAAAGTTGTTTTGAGGTCCGAGTCGAATTTATTGCATTGAAAGGAAGTTGTCCTTACCAAAACAGATTAGCCAGGCTGTCGTTATCTCCATAAAGTCAATCATTTTAGCAGGGGAAGTAGTTTTCTGAGCATATAGTACAAATGACCATTTTAGAGATATTTAAAAACACACCCACATATGTTTGGTGTTATATTACATCCTATTTTGGAATCTGTAGTCAAATGTATAATAAGTCATTGCATATTGTAAGCATTTCCGAACCTGATCTTAAATTCACTTCAGACACCTTGAGCACACACAACTCTTCTGCCACAGCTCTGCAGACATGACCAGAAGCCATTTTTAAAAACCTGATTCTCATTACCAAGACAAACATAAACCAAATTAGCTTTCAAATTTTAAATGCAAAATGTATACATACCCGACCACCTACTCCAAAAAAACTGACTTGTCTCAAAACATGAAGTGGACTGCATTTCACCTCCTGTATGTAAATATTTCCCTTTATTACAGGGGCAGCAGAAGCCAGTTTTGCCACAAATAGGAAGAAAACTAATTCCAGAAACACATTCAGTTATTTACCACTTGTATTGTTAGAAAAAGAATATCTCAAGTTTCCCCAAACTTAAATGCCCAACGTTTTCTGAATTGACAGCAGAAGTTATTTTTATTAAATGTTCACCCATTTTAGACATTCATCTCAAATCCTTGACTATATACTCTTAACAATTCAGCCACACAGAGAACAATTATAAGAAAAATTAAGAAGAGTTAAGTTACATTCTATTGTCTCTGTTTGGCAACTGCACAACCATTCTCAGTTATGAACACACACTTATTCTTTGGAGGCCTAGAGGAAACAAAGCATTCGGATAATAATAACCTGACATACGTTTCAGATTTCATTTTAAATAGCAGCAGCCCCTGCAAAACTTTCTGCTGTGAAACATTTGCTTGTTCTTTTATTAACATCAGATACAGACACAATCAAGGTGACAACAGGTGGAAAACTATGTCATTTTAAAAGATATGGATTCGTGTACAAATGTACTTTATTATAATTACATTTTAATATCTCATTCAGAAAACCAGAGGATGTGCTGTCATGAGACCTTGTGACTTATACATCCATGGTCTTGACATGATGTGAGCTGTTTTCAAAGATGTAAGTTAAAGCACCTTTTTTAGTAAAAATTATCTTGACTGTAAAATATATTACTTTTTTTCTTTCTTGAGTCATTAATGTTATTTATACCGTTTTTAAAGCATTAAATGCCAAACTTTGGTTCTATGAAGTCAGAAAAATTAAAGCTACTGTACAGACAGTGTATGAAATTACATCTTCACAGACATCATAAATCATAATAATGATGAGATATTATGTTGAAATATTCCAACTGCATTTAGTTATTAGAAGTACTAAATTAAAATGTTTGTTTATTTGTTTGCATACAATGTTCAAATAGTGTTTGGCGGTATTTGTTTTAGAATTGTACTACTGTGGCTTGGAAAAAATGTGTGGAAAACAAAGACTTTAAATGCAAACAAAATTACTTGTTTGTTCTCTGATTTAAATGCCTCTGAATACACACTTTAGTACATCAGCTATCCCACATACTGCAGTTTTCTTTTTTCAAACAAGTGATGTTAAACCAGTCTAATTATACATTTTCAAGAACCAGATAATACATTTCCTAAGTGCTCACAACTACAAATATTTCAAATGATCTAATAGTGAAAGCCAACACCATAAACTCAAAAACCAATAAACAGAGACAGCTTTCTTGGCTACTTAGCCTAGGGAGAGGTGCTGTAGAAAGAACATGAGACACTTTACAAACAAGAAGAAGCAATTCAACCCATCTAGTCTGTTTGGTCCTTAGCAGTTAATGGCTCCAAGAATCTCATCCATACTTTTCTTGAAAGTAGCCAGGGTATCAGCTTCAGCAACGTGGCTGAGTAGATTGCTTCACATGCCCACAACCCTTTGGCAACAAGACAAAAGGTGGGAGCCCTTGGCTCTTAAAACAAAGTGAATTAATTAAAAAAGATCACTTAAGTTTCTTACCTAGCTTCTGAAGAATAACACAAGTGTTGCAGACTGAGGCCAAGATGCCTCCCTGAAACAAATTAGCTCATGAATGATGGTTTCAGGCTATCTCTCTGTGCTTCAAAGCTTCTCTTGTCTCCTTCACAATAAACATTGTGAATTGTTACCAAGGCTTAACGGGCACCAAACAAGGTTGTCAACTCAAGAAACCCTTATATTGCACAAGTGTAACAGAACAGTCCTAGCCACACCTCACCTTAAATATTCATCAGCAAACATCCCGTACACGACCAGCCTCCATCGGAATGTTAGGAGGGAGCTCCACCTCACTCGACTGGTCTGGCAGGAATGGTCTGCTTACACATTGCTTTGAGTACAGTGTCAAAGCAAATCTTCACAACCAGAGCTGCACAGACCTAGACATGACTGTATCTTACAGATGTTACACAACTCTATAGTGCCTATATACCGAATGAAGGTTTGAGGGATACTACATTTCTTCTGCACTTATTTTTTGTGCCAGGAAGATCTGCCCTGGTGTTCTGCTAACTTTAATGCTATAACAACAAAGTATAATCATGCTTGAAAAATAAAAGTTTACTACATGAGGCCCACCTTCATGTTTTTCCACACATTCTTGAATAATTCAATATCAACATTTCTGCACCCATGTAGAACTTACAACCTCATTGTCATGGGGTGTGGTCACTAATCAAACATGAAGGTACACAAAGTCAGACTACAAAGAAAACTACTCCTTTCACAAGCCTCAGTGCTGAAGTGCATGAATCATTTGTCTTATCACACAACATCCCACAAGGTTAGAGGGCATGCTGCTTTTTATAATATAGTTACAAGCTAAACCCCACTGACATTTTGACAGGAAGAAACGTACACTCTATAACTCGGCCTGTGACACAGGAAAAACAAACTTTGAAACAACCTTTTGCATTGTACAGTAAATGACCTGAATTTTGTGGGTTTTCGTTTTGACTACAAGGGGACTTGTTTCAAATCTTTTAAAGTCCTCAAGGGCATTGATAAAGTCAACCCAATGGACTTCAACAGAATAAATGTTAAAGAAATCCAGAGGACATTAAGGGGGTAACATCTTAATGTGTCTGCAATCTTTATTCACAGCTCACTCATAGAATAACGTGTCAAAGACGTTAAAAATATTTAATGCACAATGTAACCCTGCACAGAAGCATCTTCCACATACTGCATGTACAAATGAAAGCATAATTTAAGAGCGCACTGGGATGAGAAACAGAAGTATTTCCTTTCATAATTAGAGCAGAAAATGAAATCTTGTAGCAACATTACTTGGAAGTATTTTACCGAAGAAAATCAGTGAAAAAAGAACGATTGCGACTCATGGCCCCTCGGTGGCAGCACATAACAAGGTTTAAGCACAGCCATTGCTGTGCAAGTCAGCCGTCCCACACAAAGAATTAATGTCAGCGGACGCAGACACCAACGGCAGATACCGCACGAAGGTTAATCTGTTTTGTTCTTGTCGATTTTATCCAGTGTAAACAAGCTGAAGATATCCGTAACCTTCAAATTAGGAGATGCATATCATTCTTAAAATTTCACAAGATTGGCGAATCTAAATATTCATCTTAATACAATGCACGTGTAGAGGGGTCAAAAAAGACAACAGAGCCTGCAGACTTCCGCGCATGCGTATTCGAGTGTTGCATGTGCGAAAACCTCATTCAAAAATACAACTTCTGTTCCAAATACCGATCACTATCGGCAGTGCTGTATTTTCCCGAATATCATTTATGGTGTATTCTGATATGACTTTTCGCTCAAGATGCCGACTTGCAGTGAGCTGTTCAGATAATCTCATGCCCTTGTTTTCTGACCCAGAAACTACAAAGTGTCGTATGTGAATGTGGTTTTTGATGTTAATCAGGTGTGTGTTATGTCTTGGTACAGAAGGAAATACAAGATGCGCACAAACGTAAGAAAAAGCCAAATGAAAGAGAACAACTATTCTTCACAGTGATGTGTTGCAGCGCTTTAAAAACCAATTTCTTTTATTTCAGTTGTTGACACTTTGAAAGCGTGCATCGGCGCATTGGTTCTTAAAAGGGTGCTTCCGGCTTTAAGGTAATTTGGACATGAATTATAACAACTTCGTTTTGAATAATAAAATATCATTTTTATATCCGTTATTTGGTCTTAAAATGTGATTGCTCTCAACTGTTCATCTGGTCTAGAAACGGATAAACTGTGTTAAAGCCCCTATTAAGAAACGTTTTCTAATGTTGAATATGTTAAGGGTGTAACCTCACCAACCAAATACTGTATTTTCAGTGTTTTGCATTTTAACACCAGAAATGTACAGTAAGTATTGTAAATTAAAGTACACACAAATAATACAATAAAACAGTTTAAACTAATCTTTACATTAATATAATTTGTTTTCAGTGGGGAAAAGCTGAAAGATGGAACAGAGTGAGAATACCATTGTGAACATTAATGTAAAACAGGTAAGATTGTTTAATCAGTTTATGTAACGCATTAATGGTTGTAACCAATAGAGACTAATGTTTATGACAGTACAAAGTGATATACACAAAAAAAATGATCTTAGACCATTACCACATCCATAAGTAACTGGAATGTAGAGCTTAAAAACTAAGTTTGTACTTTCTTCCAAATATTTAAAAATAATTAATTTCATAAGCCTCTTAATTTTAGCAGTTATACTAATTTTAATAATAAACATTATTTCAGGTCGTAATGAGTCTTAATTCAGAGGTACTGTAGTTTATACTAGAATCACAGCAGTGGTGACACTGAATTAACCAGTTTCTTAAAGACTGATACAAGGTAAACTTTTAGCAGTCTTGAAACTGGATTCAGATTTGACTTGTGTTTACACAGATATATACACTTACACAGATATAGTGTTGCATTTTTTGGCAAAAAAAAAGGAGTAGGTTTTTAAAGGAGGGAATAAATTTTAATTTAGATGTTCTGCATGGGGGCTGAGGATAAAATAGACTAGATGTGTCAGTATCTCTTTTCTTTCAGTCAGGTGTGAAGAAATAACCTACTCCCAGGGTATCTCTGAAATATAAAAAGCTGTATCACCGTGGAGAGTGGGATCAGGCTCTATTGAGATACCACTCTGTATTTGCTATGGGTATTAAAATATTGAAAGCCACTGATTGCTCTGGCTTCTTGATGTGCAGTCATATTTTGAAGATGTTGTCTACCTGCAGAAAGACTACAATCGAGCAATCGTGATTGCAGTCTCATCAGACGCGATTTTTAACCTGGAAGAGGAACAAAAGCTCAGTGCAGAGGAGAGCAAGAGAGAGACTGAAAAGCAGCTAGGGACTGAACTGCTGAAGCCAGGCACTGCCTTCCCCTTTATTAAGGTAGAGCACTGTGTTTGTCTCTCTTGTCGTCCAAAGCAGAAAATCTTCAGCTGTAGGAAGTGAAAATTTTTGTTTGTCAAATGGAAATCTCAGAACAAGTGTGTCATGACAATCTCTACAGGAAACACAGTAGACACTTGTCAACCAACATAATGAAATATTAATATTTGAAATTCTTTTGTTATTGTCCTGCTTTTTGTTTAGAATAGAACTTGCTCAAAATCAGTACTGGAAGTCAGTGTGGTCCTATTTACAGTAATACCAGTATTGTTATGCTAAATGTACATGTACCTTTTAGGACAAATAAATTAATACTGCATTCAGGCACTTTAGCTACATTTTAAGGATGGTAAAATAGTTTGCATTGATTTCCTCAAGTGTAATTTAGATATAAAATATTATTATCTGGTAAGATGTACTACAAAAAATAAATGGAAAGTGTATAGAAAAAAATGCACTTTCAATAAACCTAATTTGCTGATCTATTGGACTGCTTTACTTTGTTATATAATGTGATACCCAAGATAGAATAAATTTAATCTTTATAAAAGTTGCCCAGGATATTAATAACTGCTAACTGAAACTAAAATAGATGCAAATAAATTAAGAAATGCTAAAACCTTAAATGAAGAAAAGAAATCCAGTGGTTGAATCAGTCTCAGGAATATACAGTACAAATGGTCCGTGAGGCAGTGTGTCTTGACTCTGACTCATCTGTCTTGTGAAGGCAGCTGAGATGGTTAACAGGAAACTGCTGGAGAAAAATCCTGATGAAACACATTTATTTGATGTGATCCTTGTATCTGATAACAGACCCCAAATCCGCACGCAGCTAGTCAACAGTGCAAAGCATTATGGTAAGTGAGACATATACTCACTGGCTCACCTAGTTAAAGACAAGAATATCAATTTCGCAGGCCCATTTCTGGGAAGATTCAGCAGCTGGTTTAGCATGACTTCACAGCACTACATTTGAATTCTGCACATTCAGGCTCTGTAGAGAGATACATACCTTGCAGTGTCCTCTTGGACAAAACTGTCAGATAAATAAATTGACTGAGATTTATCATCTGTCCATTATCAAAAAGCCACTTAGAGTTCACACGATCCTTACTGGGACGATCTCGGAAGAACATGGTACCAGACAGGATGACCAACACCCTGAACAAGAAACCTGCTTTGTGTATGATACACACACAAGTACACAGAGATGATTTAATGACACTGATTAACATAGATGGCATGTCTTTAGAATGTGGAAGAAAAAGAACTTATTACTGTAGCTTTTTTTAAGCCAGCCACAGCCATTACCTAATTTAGGTATAGATTCCAGGTCTGTTCTTTCTGCCTGTTAAAGGCTGATATGTGATTATTCTCTTCCAGGTTTGGACATCAGCAGATTTTGCTTTTTCCGTAATGATGATTTTGTAGACCACCTGCAGTCAAACAATGTGAAGTTGTTCCTGTCAACAGATAAGACCAATGTTTGCAAGACTCTGAAGAAAGGTATGTCCACCTGCTCAGGGTGACGGGTAGCTGTACCTAATGCAAAAAAAAAGCATATACCAAAGTTGTGTATCTTGTGACGAAAAATGCTGTCTTATATCACGTGAAATCAAGCACATGATGTTTCTATCTCTCCATCCATCTTCATATGGAAAGTGTAATGATAAAAAGTGTCAATCTTTATAAATTATAATGTTATAATGTAAAGGAATACAGACTCTCTATAAAATGTTTAATTACCCAATGTACCCAGTTCCTTTATTGCAATTTTGCACAACTGCTTTACTATACTTAGGTTCTAATTATTTTCCTTCACATTCTCTGTGTGAAATAGCCACTGATAATATTTTATCCAGCTATATCATTCATGGAATGACTGTTTAATGGTCAGTTATGTTTAAAGTAAAATATTGTGGATACATTTTAACATAATTAATGTCTTGTTTGATTCACGGTATTTAGTTGAGTTATATTCAATTACCATGTGATTTAAAAAGAGTGTGTAAATAAACTATGGTGAAACATCTTCAACATCATTGACAATCAGGAAATACAACACAATTTTATAAGAATCAACAATTTAATCAAATATTTCACTTGTTTTATGCTATTATAACATGTGGAAACACTTCCTACAACATCGAGATTGTGGGCAGCAAGTCTTAAGTTAATAGAGATATGAGAACTAAAGAAAGGTAAGAGAGCAACATTCGACCTAACTGCCTTCTAAACTGATTCCAGATATAGAAAATACATGTTTGTCACGGATAAAAGAATGTTAACACTCTTTAACTCTACAGAATGCTTGTACTGTATATCATAATTGTAGACAAAACAGAAGTTCCACTTTTCTGCATTGTCGTGTATACTTCAGGAATTCCAGCAGCTCTCCTGTTCAGGCAGGATGCCCAGGCACCCACAGACCAGCTGAGGATCCTCTTCACTGGGGACGATGTGCTCTCAAACAGCGCAGAGCTCGGGCTGAGGGGAGGAGAGCTCGCTGAACCTGTGGACTCCAAGAAGGAGCTTCAGAATGCAACTGCAGCAAAGGTACAGAAGTACTCATTATAATATGTAAGATCGACTAAAAGGCGTTATGTTATATTATCAAGGGTTTTGTAGCTTTTCTACAATAGGATTTTCGCCCAGCAATGCTTCTTTTAATTTTTCAGGAGTAGTCATACTTTAAAAGTTTCCCTAATTGATTTTTTTTCTGATAAGTGGTTTATAACTGTCTTGATAAATCAGGATAAGGGAGAAGAAGTCCTAATGCAGGGTACAGCAGATTTGACAGTATTATCGATAACATTGAATTGTTATTGCTGCTGGAGATGAAACACTGTTATTTTTATACCGTTTTATACTGTTATTTTTTTCAGGGGGCAATGAAAGAGTTTGCAGGACTAATAGGGGAGATGAGAAGGAAGTTTGGCCGAGACAGCAGCCCCTTATGTACCTATTTGATGACAGCCCGGAGCAATAAGGAAGTGAGCTCCAAGGTAATACAGTCACTTCGCGGCTGGGGACTGGAGGTGGATGAAGCTTTTTTCCTGGTTGGAGCCCCAGAAGGACCTATTCTGGCCCAAATTCAGCCTCACATACTTTATTCTCCTGGTCTGCAGAGCTTGCAGAAAGACCAAGAAGATTTCTGATGGGTTTCTTGTATTATTAAGCTACAGATGAGTAGGTTGAACACCTGACTGCAGCCTCTCATTCGCATCCTTTCTTGAGTCAGAAACACGGGCACCAGCTTCCTAACAATGAGCACCAAATGGGACTAAGGGTTAAAATATAACACACTTGCTTCTCTTGGAGCTGTGCATGCTTAAATGATTATATGATCACGGATAATATGATTATGGCATGGGATGAACTGAAATATAATCAGCTTGTTTTGATAAAAAAAAACTGTAGCTGCTGTTTGTTTTTAAAATCTATTCACAAAGTGAATTTCAAAGTATTTCTTTAGAAGTACTAAATTTCTCCCAAGTTTCCAAGATCTTATTATCATTAAGTCCATATTATAAATGTCATGCCTTGAAAACTCTGAATACTGCAGACTGCTTTTTGAAGGTAAATATTGTGTTTTTGTAAGTTATTCATGTTAACACACTGTAATTCCTTAACTTTGGAAGATGTTATCTACACAAAGAACTCATTGTTAAACAATTTGCATGTTACCTCACAACAAAGTGCCAATGTGGAGTGTCATTTTACTGGGTTTTGTACAGTCTTTCATTCTAACTGGAGCCAAAGCAAAGGAGAAATATTATATAAGATGTTTTGGAATTTTCTGAGATGCCTCCGACTGCAAGTGCACAATCCATAATACATAAAGCCAAAGCCTTTCAGATTGAAGACATTGAACAGGGATTAAATTATCCCAATTCTGTATATAAATAGTGATTTAAACTATTGTGAATTTTTTTTTTCATATTATTGCTTCTGGGTCCAGCATCTCACTCACACCTGCAGATGAAAACAATATAATGTTTTATCAGTTTCATTCCTTACTATGGCTTAGAATCCTGGTTGCAGTTAGCTGCCAATGGAGAACACAGTTTGTCATTAATTATGTATATTGGTATTTTCTGTGGTTTTATATTATTTGTACATATTCCAGAAAATGACACCTTACTATAGCCTGATCATAGAAGACTTGTAAAAAGGTTTTTATGCTGATATTTCCTTGCATTGTTTTTACAGATTTGCTTTCACACTAGAGGTGTAATTTTATTTTTTATTATTATCTGGTGCCTGTTACGAAAAACTGTTACCAGGATTACCATCCTGCGATGTTAGTGTTTCCAAGCTTACTGCTTTTTGTTTCATTCTCAATTTTGAATCTCTTCCACCTCCACAATAATCACTACTTTTACGGTTTCAATAAAAATACTTTGTCCAGTTCAGTTTTCACAAACGTACAAAAAATGAAATACTATTGACATTATTACTATGTTCGATGGTTTTTAGTTGGAGTGCTGAAATGTGCATAATATAAGTCATTCTTATTTCAGTGAATAAATACATTCATTTATATAATAAATATATTCATAAATATACACATGAAAAAATGGTCCTCAAGCTTGTCAATGTCAATAGAAATATTACTTGAAATGTTACATTTTTCTTCCTATTTTTGTTCATAATGATAAATTACATAATCCATGCAAATTTGTAGATTCAACAGAGTATGACACAGCTAAAACAAATTGCAAAATTGCATTTCTAAACAATCATATGATTTAGTTCTGCTGAAAAAAAACTAATAAAACAGTCAGATGAGGACTGAAAGGTCTGGAGTCACACTTCTGTGTTTTTTACATGTGATTAAGTATTTAGGGAAATGGCTTTTATTTAACTGATATTTCAGGAGAGATATACAGACCCTGTGGAGTTATGCATTGTGAATACTACAGCTTACTTTAGCTTTAATTCCCTTCGATACAGGGATGAAAACAGTTCTGTGAATGAGGAGGCTAGGTATCCCTACAGAGCAAGATTGTTGATGAACATTTAGTTGGTAGAGGGTGGCTGAGCAGGGAATTCTGGGAAGGAGAGTCCGATATCTGTTATTTATATAGAAGAGGCAGCAGGTGACTTTGGAGAAGGTCTTCCTTCCTGAATATCTCCCCTAAAAACTGTCCATGCAGTTCTTAAGACATGATAAGACTGTATTTAGACAAAAACCTAAATAATTTAGGCTCAGTAGTACACTTCTTTTACCAAAAACAGCCATATGTATTGGCATCCATTGATGCAAACAATGTAACAAAACTCAACGCACTAAATATGGTTAACCTTGTTTATGCAAACCTATGGGAGACCTCCTGGGAAAGTTAAGATGGCTGCTGGCAGAGGTGTTAGTGGGGCCAGTAGGGGGCACTCAACCTGCAGTCTGTGTGGGTCTTAATGCCCCAGTGTAGTGATGGGGACACCATACTGTAAAAAGGCACTGTCCTCTGGATGAGATGTAAAACCTAAATCTCTGTTGTCATTAAAAATCCCAGGGAATTTCTTGAACACAGATAAAGCGGAGAGGTATTATCCATTTCCCACTGGCCTTACTACTAATGGCCTCCATCACTGTGTTCTCCTCCTCACTGTTCGCTAATGTGCAGTGAGTGTACTGGCGCACTATGCCTGCATTTGCATCATCTGGGTGGTGGAATTATATTATATAAAGTTCATTTCTAATATAGTACAAATCCAGTCATGTCCGAATATACTGATACACATTGAAAACAATTAAAAGTTTCATATATTTTTATGTTATCTTTTTATGATGTGTAATTTTGCAGCTTCAACACTAAAGTATGACCATTTATCCTAGGTTTAAACAAGCACTCATGAAATGAGATGGAAATTTCCCGTGGTTAATAATGCATGTGTGTGTCAGGGGTGGGGGTAGGACCGTTTAGGGTTATAGCCTCAATTTCAAAGGATGTAGTAAAAGTACTAATTCAGGTTAAATTGAAAATCTACTTTTGAACAGTAAAAAAGTGTGGGAACTGCAGAGTGAACTTAAAAAGAAACAACTTAGCAAAATTGGGTTTGTACTTAAACTGTCATGTGTTCATTTGGCTTTGTCATCAGAATCATTGTTGAGAAACATGACTTGCAGTTCTGGACGATTACAAAAAACATTATTTCACCGATTAAAATATTTAGATCAGGTATGCTTTTGAATTACAGGATTTTTCGAATAAACTAGAAACTCTTAATACAAAAGTGGGTCATTCTTCTTAACTAATCTCCTTGGCTTGATAACGTTGCAAACATGACAGTTTTAGTGGCACATATTTTCTCCTTTAATCGATATTTGTATATTTTCTGACCGCTAACGAGACAAATGCAATTGAATACCCAATAGTTCATCTATAAATAGCTTTATACTTCATAAATTGTGAAGGGAAAACCCTATTTTGACTAAGTAAGCGACTGATGCAGGCCAGCCTTTCAGCTGGCATACAGTACAGTATGTGCCTTGTCTGTCTGTTCCGCTGTGGCTGCGTTGTGAATGAGGGCGCTGTTTCGTCACATGATCATTCTGCACTGGAGTCAGCTGACGGAGGTGCTGTGTTATTAAAAACTCGGGTGAACTGCTTGGTCATTGTTCATATCCATAATAGGGAGCCTAACGATACGCTGCATGTCCTGATCGCTGCAGCAATAAAATGAAGCTTTCGTACTTGTTCCTGTTGGCTGCTTTCGTCTGGACCACCGATGCTATCATCAGGTAATTTTTTTTACACTTCTTGTTGCATAATACTAGTCATACCCAAATGAGATCACGGACTGCCGAGGGTGACCGGGTTGATTTCAAATTGACTGTAATCCTCACATTGCTGATAACCTATTCAGAAATAGATCGGTACCTTTGTTATGGATTGGGCTGTCGCGCTTTTCAACGGATGCAAATTAAGTAACGGTTGGCCGGGAAGCGCACAGCAAAATCATTTCACAGCTTTGTTAGTCTTTAAAAAATAGAGCTGAGGGCGTTTTTAGGAGCTGCCGTAGGCTATGCATCTAATTTGAAAAGTTGGCTACTTCTTTTTAGTTGCGTATTGCTGCAAAATATCGGATACCGCAGTACTTTCTGTGACTATGTTATTATTGTTCTCGGTGAGTACTGCATGTGCTCTGTTGTTGGTAGTGTCTTTGTCGCTGTATTGAATTTTGCGTTGCGCTGGGTAAGAAAACAGGAGCTTTATTATGCTGTAGTACCGTCACTAATTTGTAACCCTGGCATTGTTTTTTTTGTGCTTTTCATCTTTACCCCTCTGTTTGTACGTATTTCTACTAATAACATACTTCAACTGTTGTCACAACCACTTCTCACCTGACTGACATAGCCAAGCCCTGACTCACCTGATCATGGTGTCTGCGCTCCCCCAATCCCTCCACAGCAGACAACACTTCCTAGTGTTTATCCCCAGTTAAATTCTGTTGATCTCCCGTGACAATTTCTGTTAGTAGCAGCAGAAGTTATCAACTGTTTTCTAAGGGTCGAAATTGGTATTCATTGCAGTGAATCAGTTCAAACTGCTCAACAGTTAACCATTATTGTAAACTCTTTGAAAATGATGCTGTCAATGCAGTTAAATGAATATAACTAAATTATATACAAATCCACGGTGATATCTTATGATAAGGAATATGGCAAAGTATGCCGTTGTATCTTTCTAATTAAAGATCTATTAGCTGAACAGTGTTTCAAATCAATAAGCACTGAAGGAAAATACTCATTAGAAAAGATCTTGGTGTGGTGTGCAGTGCTTTTAAATGTTCAGGAAGAGCTTTTGAATATGCTATTTTTTAACAGTTCGTTCCTGTATACAGTACGTGCTGCTTTTCTGTGAATGAAGGTGGCAGTCCTTGTTTCTGGAGAAAAGATCTGACAGAAGTGAAAATGAGCACCTGTAAAGTACATTGAAAATTTTTAGGAAGCTTTTGCTTCTATAGAAAACTTTTGGTCAAGTGTATGCATTCAAGTGCATTCAATATTAGTGTTGCAACTGACTTCCTGCTGTTGATCTCGCTTCAGAGAATTCAGGTCGACCACTAACCGCCATTGAGGAGGGTGACAGAAAGCTGCAACACCTCATGTTAGCTGAAAAGTGCATTTTTCTGTGCCTTCAAGAAGGAAGGAAGAACAAACTGCATTCTAAATACGGGGGCGTTGAAGTATTTAAGTGGTGCATGTTCTGGATGAGGTTATGTACCTGTAAGACTCTGGGCTTTCCTTCTAAACAAAGAGGATCTGGCAAATGGTAAACACTGGGCACTCAGATGGGGTTTGGTGAGTCAGCTGTACTAGAAAGGTGCTTTGTGCACCGCAGCGGAGGTTTCTTAAAAGAGGGAAGCAGAAGACACATGAATATAAAAGAGCACAGCAGGATTGTGAAAGAATATTTCCAAGCAGTGCTTTGGTTGTTCACATTTTACATCCAGTGTTTTGATAGCACTGAGGTGATTCAGTGCTTTAACGGGATTTGTCTTTTCCCAGGATTCCTCTTAAGAAGTTTCGCTCTATCAGACGGTCTCTGTCCGATGTGGGTAAAAGCGTCGAAGAGCTGGTGGCTGACAAGGAGTCCTTGAAGTACAACCTGGGTTTCCCTGCAAGCACTGGGCCTACTCCAGAGACCCTGAAAAACTACCTTGATGTGAGAATCCCTTTGCCCTTGTAAAAATTCCTTTTGTTTTACAGTTGTAGAACCTGAGTAATATCTTTATTTTCGATTCTCAGGTGTCTTTACTATACTCATAAGCACAAGAATCTGAACAGCCTCCCCTCATTTTTAACTTTTTTATGTTCTAATAAAGAAATAGTGTGATACAAATATCAGATATTTTCCATTTTAAATCTGACCTTAAATCTGTTTAATTAAGTATGAGTGAAGCCTGAATCCTGATTTAAAATACACACCAGTAGACCCAACCAATGAAAATGACAAATTACCTTTTGTGGAATTCTTAAGTATAAAATGTACGATATGCACTCATAATCTGCAAATGTACACTTTAACAGGTTTGACCTGTTTAATCGAAACGCAAGTGGAAACATGTTTATGATTTCCTACAGTTGTGCTAGACATTTTGTGTCAGATTACACATGCACGCAAAGTTAGTATAAGGGTTGGAGAAGACTTGTCATTGAGCAACTTGATTGGCCAACCTGATAAAGGGCTTGCTCAATGCGGCAAACATTTAGAATGAAGCAATATTAGGAAAATGATTTGATCTTCTATCACGTAAAACTCTGCCCAGACAGCACCATGATTAGATGTGACATGAATTCTACAGCGGTATTTATATTTCCTCTCTTGATGCCAAAGAAACTGCCTGTAATCTGCGTGCAGGGGCAGCAACAAGGTTTGTTAAAAGGCTGTTTAATTAGTGTCTCAGCTGGTTGTTACCAGGAACACCCTTCCTATGAAACTCCAACTGGTTAGAATATCGTAGGATTTAGGAATCTGTTGATCAGGAGCACAAGGAAACAAGAGTTTGTTATATGACAGATGAGCCACTGTGTTACTGTACTGTAAGCTACTTTATTCCAACCACCTGACTTGGGGCATGCAGGGCTCAGCTCCGGGTTACTTAAAAGGCATCGGTCTGTTTAAATAGGCCTGCAGACTGAAGCATTACACAATTTAGTGTTAATATTTTTAGAAAAACTAATAACGTCTTGAGTACATTGTGTTCTACTGTACCATGCATAATTCAAAACTTCTCCACTGGTTTTATTTGTTTTTGTCGCAAGCTAAAGTCTGTTTTCGACATTTTCTTTACATTTTTCTTTGTGCAGAGTGGCTTATCTTTTAAAAAAGGTATCTTGGATTTGCAAACCAAAACTACTTAGTTGCTCCTATGGACGACTTGTGCTTAGATAAAGCAACTAACTGCTGTTGAAGAAAATATGTCAGATGGTATTTAATCAGTTGCTCCATGAGGTTTAGAAATGACTGGAAGCAAAAAGCTGCTCGTCTATCAATGTGAGATGAGGGGTGGTATATTAAGGAAGTTCTTATCATGAAAATGATTGAAGGTTGTATTCTTGTTGAATGTTTTTCAAAATTTAATGTTTTTGATCAAATCTGATCCAATGAGCATTAACAGACACATCTCAAATATTTATAGATTTTAGAGGAGGTTGAAATTAAGTTGTGTTTGACATCAAATGTTGCCCACAAATTTTAAAACCTCTTTTATTTCCTGTATTTTTTTACTGTATAAGCATCATTCCCTATAACGTATTTATACTTTGGCAAGTAACCCGATACTGCATGCTTTGACTAAAATGTTGGTTTTAAAATCAAAAGCTTGGACTAGGCCCAGTTACTTTTGCATTGTGTAAAACTTCAAAATGAATTCTAAGTCACTTAAACCTGCTCAGACAGCTGATACTAAAAACTGCTAAAGAAAAGTTGTGATTGGCTCACACACTGACTCATAATCACATGAGCTGTGATAAGGGCTTCAGGCACCACAGCCAGTTGTCATGGAGCTAGGGTTTTTTTTTACCACTGAAATAACTACGCAGGTTGTTAACAGTTGCAGCTTATGCACATCAAAGTTGAATCAAAAGAATACATGCTTTAGATTTTTCTCCTGTCCATCAAAAGGAGTTTTTTTTAATTGGGCTGCCTTTTCTAATGTAGTGTGTAAGGCAAAATTTGAAATCTTAGCTGTAAGCATACAGATTCCAGCTTTAAACAGCTTAAAACTGTTGAAAAATAAACAGTGTGTGTCAGGTTTATAAAGAAGATTCTGTGATATGAATGAGCATCTGAGTCTATAAATATATATCGTGCAATATATGTGCTCAATGAAAAATTGGCAAATATATATTCCCGACACTGTAAGAAATAACAAGACTGAACTATGCAAAGTCCACCCCAGCTGTTTGCTTGTGGCTCTGAGAATCAGGGCAGTCTCTTTGCTCTTTGCAGAAGATGACGCCCTTGACCCCTGTTCTCACCTGTGTGTGTGTTGACAGGCTCAGTACTACGGGGAAATTGGAATCGGAACCCCGCCACAGCTCTTCACCGTGGTGTTTGACACAGGATCGTCCAACCTCTGGGTGCCTTCCATCCACTGCTCCTTCACCGACATCGCATGCTGTACGTCCGACTTGTAAAATTGCTTTGCTCCCACTTTGTAGGCCCCTCTCATTTGAACTCTAATGTGACAGGAAATTCCATCCATCCATTTCCTAACTGCTTTGTCCAGTGCAGGGTTGTGGGGGAGCCAGAGCCCCTTCTGGCAAGCAGTGGGCACAAGGCAGGATACACTCTGGGTGGGACGCCAGTCCTTAACAGGGCAGACAGACGTAGGCACACACACTCACCCCAGGGCATTTCCCCCAGTGTCAGTTAGCCTGTCTTTGGACTCTGCGAGGAAACCGGAGCACCTGGAGGAAACCTACTAGCAGTGCTAACCACTGCGCCACTGTGCCACCCCAACAGACAGTTGCTTCACTTTATTTTGAGACGATAATATAAGCAGAAAAAGACACAACCAGACCTCAGTAAATAACGAATGCTTAATAATATGAAGTATATAGCCGCAGTGTTTCTGTTCGTGTTTTCATATTTTCCTTTGTGAAAATGCCAAGGGGGGGTTGTCAGTATTGTAGAAAGAATCTCATGAACTCATGCCATTTCAGCTGAAAATAAAGGTAGCCACATTGCTGTTAAAAGGAAAGTTCTCTCTTTTGGTTTGATGTCCACAACCTCATTTTTAGAGGGCAGCTTCTAAATAGTATTGTTTGCATATATTTTATAGAAAACTTGTAATAGGTAAAGTAACAAAAGCGCTTTGAGAAGCCACCTTTAAAGGCGCTATATAAAATAAAGTTTATTAATATTATTAACGTAAAAGATAATGTTTGCAATCATACAGTAATACTGCAAAATACATACTGTATAGTCCACAGGTTACTACTTCGTTGGCAATGTCTAAATAGAAAAGATCGTGGTACGCTTTATTTGGCTTAAAAATCAAATAACTCTATCAGTTTTTTTAACCGTGTGTCATTGCTTTCCCTAAGTGCTTCACCACAAGTACAATTCTGCCAAATCAAGCACATACGTAAAGAATGGAACAGCCTTTGCTATTCAGTATGGGTCTGGCAGTCTATCTGGATATCTCAGCCAAGACACCTGCAAGGTAGAGTATTTATGTTTTTTATTTTTCCTATCTTTCATCTAGAATTATAGATACCTACTGTATAGTGCTAGAGCACGTCTTGTTCTTTATAGTGCCTATATGTGTACTTACTGTATAGTTGCTCCTTCCAGAATGCTTTGTGAATGAGACATGGAGGTTCGAGCAGGCGGAAGTGGTCATGTCTTCATTTCTTCCTCAGATTGGCGATTTATCTGTGGACCGCCAACTTTTCGGTGAAGCTTTAAAGCAGCCTGGAGTGGCATTCATTGCTGCCAAGTTTGATGGCATTCTAGGAATGGCTTATCCCAGGATTTCAGTAGATGGAGTAGCTCCTGTCTTTGATAACATGATGAGTCAGAAAAAGCTGGAAAAGAATGTGTTCTCCTTTTACCTGAACAGGTGAGGAATGTGCCAGCCCGCAGAGTTATGGCTAAATTACATTAATTTTTTTGTTCCTTCATTTGAACTTATGCCTACAGCGAGCTAATGTAATATTTTCTTGTTTTTTTTGCAATAAGTGGAGATTACGATGTTTAGTACTGGCCTTCTGTCCATCTAATTCTCAAAGAAAGCAGAAGTGTTCATTAAAAATAATTTAAAACATTTACATATGGTGGTTGTGGTACCTAATGTTGTGTGAAGGTGTAAGATTGAAATAATGCCTGTCTGCACCATTTAAAACCATAATATGAGATAAAATTTTGTAAGAGGCAAAGCAAAGAAAATTTTAAATTCTTAGTTTTTATCGTCAAAAGAATAAGGAAAAAGTGAGGTGGAGTGCCAGTCAGTATCCTTATTCACCCTGCAAAAAATTAGGCATGGAGACATTTTGTGAACATTTGTATAGCTTTGGTAGTGGTGCCACTGCCTGATAATATTGATCCCTCATTCTGTCACAGGAACCCTGAAACACAGCCAGGCGGGGAATTGCTGCTCGGTGGGACAGACCCTAAATATTACACTGGGGACTTTCAGTACCTGAACGTTACCAGGCAGGCCTACTGGCAGATCCACTTGGATGGGTAAGTTCAGGTTTTACCTTCACCACTTTTCTGGGAAAACAGAAGTGTACTTGCTGATAATGTTTCAAATCCTGTCTTCGACATTTTTCATTGTCTGCAAGGAG